GAAGGATAGTCCTCAAGCAGAGGTGGTCAAACACCTCTAGTTCTCGCTTGTCCTCCACGCGCAGTCCACTTTTCACAATTGCATAGCAGGACTGACCGGACGGATGCCCGGTACACACGGATCTTCATTGCGATGGAGATGCCGTAGCAGGCCGATAGACACTTTCAGATAACCCTACGAAGGGCATCGATTCGAGTTGCGATGTCATCTATTCGACAGCAGTCTTGCTCTGAAGTATTTGAAACTACTTCAAGATAAAAGCCATTAATCCAGAGGAATGCCTTCTCCTGGCCGGGGATGTCATGTTTTTGCCGAAACGCCTGGCTGATACCCTCACCTACAAATACCCGCGGTCGAATTATCAAATGAGAACTCAGCAGTAAGGGCGAAAGCACAAGAAGTCTATTGCTGAGACCAAAAAGCGAAAATCTGGTGATGAAAGGTACATACGGAAATGTCTAAAGCCAGATCATGTCCTTGAGCCACAAGCATGTGGACTAGGCTTCTGACACATCTGAGTGCTTGGACACCCCTCCAATCCTGCCGGTGGCTAGTGCGATATCAACACACGCACGCCGTGTGGGCAGATTGATAGAACGGTGTGTGAAGGCGTCGTTAGGGTGGCTTGCGGACAAGTTGGTTAGGACGGCTCCTAACAAGGGATGCATCTCGAAAACAATTTTTTATTCTCGGCGCTGTGGATAAGCTTGCCGATTTAGCGGCGGACAAAAAGGCGGAATGCGTGACCGGCCGCACTGACCATCGCGCGGGGGTAGACTGCCACAAGATCAGTTAGCTGGCGTCCGGATGCAGTCAACGGTAAAATCGTGTAGGGGGACCTGGACAGCCGCAATATCTAGTGCATGGTATACGTCCTCAACTGGTAGTAGATTGTTTTGCATAACTGATGGCATGATAACAGATTTCGAAAACACGTTAGCCTCGGTCAGATTGTCCAGCATGTGCACCTTTTTGAGCTAGCCCCTTTGAATTTGACATGTAGCTCGTCCGTCTAAGCACATCCCGGGGTTTGCTGGACTATTTTATGCGCGATCTATACTGACTTTGGATGTAGTAACTCCACTTTGGTCTGTCACTCAGCTTCCCACAGCTGCACTGACATCAAGCCACTCACCGACTGTGCTACTGCGGTCGGACATTACCGCCAGGTATTTAAAGGGAAACAAATTTTCGGGAGAAGCGGCCACTCATGGACCGGAACCTGCGTAGTGCAAAAGTACAGCTGCGAGGCCCTCATGTCGCTTCAGCCGTTTATTTCCGCAGCCGAGAGAATTCAGAAGTCAAGAGCCAATGCCCGATTTTTCAGACAGCCCTAAGTAATTTAGTGCCGCTGCAGAGAGACCCAAAAAACAGCTGTGGGTATAGCCCCAGTCTCTGGAAACCACCCGCGCCTCGAATGGTAGTCCGACTGGAAAAGGATGGCTTTCTGCATCATTCTGGTCTCTGTCAAATCATTTCTTCGCCTCTCCTTTCCAGGTACGTCTTACGGGATATCAAGCGTGTCGACAGCGCTCAGTGGCTTCCTGGAATGGCCGGTGTGGGCATAAACGAAGCAGAGGCACACTGCAGCAAGCTGCTCGAGCATCGTACAGAGAAACTTATCCCCTTAGATTTTCCACTCCCCTGACTCTGTGGTCTTTACACTGGTTTTCTACATCCTATATCCTACCGAAATAAACCGGAACAGCCAGGGCTATCTTCCCACAGGTACTTTTATTTTCCTGACGAAAATCAACTTATATTCATGCAAATATGCTCCCATCTGCGGTAGGATTTTCCAGTCGATAGAGTGGACCGACTGTAGGCGTGCTTTTGACATCTATAACACGTCGTCGGTAGCCCAGGACACCCAATCAGACAGTAACTACTAGTTGCTTTTCTGAAATTCAAAGAGACGCTAGCCTGTTTTTGTGGTGCAAGGGTGCACACACACGCATATATACTTATATACACATGAATAACTCAACCCTTGAAAGAGAGTCAACTGAGGAGAGGAGCAGTGTGCTCGGGTGGTTTAAGAAAAGCGGTAGACAGGTGGCAGATCAGGAACACTGAATGGGAAGGAAGGATGGAATCCAGAGGAAGGTGGATTTCATCAAAACAAACTGGGAGGCGAAAGCACTGGGGGCAAGTGGGAGGAGCAGAACGACGGTGACATCGACTGAGTCCGATTAGTTGGCATACACGCACAATTAGCCAAGAAATCCAAACCAGTAGGCCCATTCGACCCGACTTATAAGCCAGTACTCAAACAGACCCAGGCAGTAACCAAATATGACATCACCAAGGTGGTGCCGGCGCATCAGGAGTCGGGAAATACAGACAGCCGCCGCCCACACGTGAATAAGGACGCACGTGTATCTGGAGAGATCGAAGAAGAGCCAGACCAGCAACCATTGCAACATTGCGGCGCGGCTGGAGTGCCCTGTTAGGGAAGAACATGTAAAGGACACATAAGCGAATACTAAAAAATTAGCGAAGAGAGTGGTGGAATCTGAAAACGCTTTACTAGACAGCACCGTAGCCACACTGACGTCCCGTCAGGGATGTTTTCAAAGTGCGGCACGAGAGTAAATGGAAAAGGTTGCATGGAAGTTGAGCCCTAAACACTCTAATGAAACCTTGGGAATCCCACACAAAGAAGACGGGGACACCCCCACAATGGTTCTGAACTACCTCGTTTTTAGCAGGGTATTAAAGAAAGTACCAGGTCCTAAGGCCTAGACTATGGCAAGAATTGAGATTTACTGATTCACAGGGCGTTGGAATTCGAGCCTCCTAGGTAGTTTGGAGCAATGACTACCCCGAGAGTGCGGGGGTTCATTTTGCCAGTGATGAGCATTGTTCTCACTAACAAAGCCAGGTCACTGGGTCAGTTCCAATGCAAAGGACTGCCGCCCCTTTAACCGTGGAGGAGGAGATTGCTCCCCCAGAGACGTGAAGCTATCTAGGAAAACGAAGTTGTGAGCACGCGCAAACCTTGCGGCGAGTGGCGTGTTTGGCATACGAAATTCCTTCACCGCGCATCCATCGCGGATACTACTTGCATTCGCGGACGCGCATTTCACTGACTCAGCGCCTGCATGACAACTGCGAAGACTTCGAAGCAGCACCGGGTTATCATCTAACTCTGCAGGCATAAAACTTATGGTCATCCAGCTGAAGTCAATAGTATTAATGTCAAAAGTTTACTCCAAATTAGGAAGAAACTCCATCAGTCCTATCGCGACCAACTAAGTCGAAGTTCTTAAAACTTCGCTATATGAAACTATGACAGAAACTCCATGGCCAAAGCTGAGTTAATCATTTTCACCATGCAACCCCCACAACTCTCGACGCCATGTTCCGCATTTCGTTGAGAACGCGGAGGATGAACACCCACCTCAATGCCGACGACTATCGGGTTAAGTGTACCGCAGTCGTCGGGACTACCGTAAGTGGTCTTTCGAACGGGAATCCCGACATTTCAACAGCCTCATAGTGGTGGCTGGAGGTCCCGTCTACTACTGCGAGATCGGAAGTCGCGGAACCTGAGCAGACGATAGAATACAGTGGTACAGAGTGATTGACACCCTACCAATAGCTGGTTGGCCGCCCTTTCATGCAAGAGGGGAACCTAAACAACTCGCCGATGTTCGCATCATTCTTCCAAAGCCACATTTGGAAATGTTTTTTTCAAAACGCTGGGGATTGTAGTTTTCTGCATATTTCGGGTGAGAGACAAGACCTGTGATGGATTTCAGACGGCTGGGTCTGTTAGCCCTTGGGAAGTGCGTGCAGTACAACATACTCGAGCTGAATTTTAGATGACATTTCGAGCTTGTCTGTCTGGTTCTGATTAGCATTCCTTCCTATTCTGCTGCCTCAATTGTCCGTTACCATCTCGTTTGTTCACTGGCGCCTCAAAACTAACGACAGGCTAAAAGCTGCGGTAGGTTAACAACTCGATCTTTGGCTGGACTGATATTCAAGTTTCGATCTTTCTTTCCTGATGTAGTCATCATGGCAAGTCCCGACGAGCGCTTTTTGAAGCTTCGTTTGTATGCGCGTGGAGCGCAAGACGTTCGACGTACATTGACAGGGACTTCATACTGGGTCAGTTTATAGGCCAAATTTCATCGCCGGTCGGTGATCCGGCACTTACTTTCTCACTGTGTGCGCTAAACTATAACGACGCGCGAAGAGGCATCAAGTGCCTGGATAAATCGGTCGCTTCCAGAATGAGGGTCAAGGCACACCGACTCCCCAGTGTGGTTTTTACGACATCTTTAAATGAGAAATCCGAAAACCTTTGGATCAGCACATGTGTGGCATGCGTGCATGAAGACACTATGTCAAGTCGACCGCACCCACCTCCATCCCCAGTCGTCCTAACCTCGTCTTGGCGGTCACCGCTGCCTCCGCAGGCAGTTGGCAATTTCGAGCTTACATATGGGGGCATAGAGACGCCAATACATGGAAGTTATTCCTCTGGTTCGATTGCAGGAATTAAGAAAAAACGGTCTGAACAAGGCCGACAAAACCCTGTAAGCGGGTCAGACTCCGGTTCGACTTCGTTATGGTACAACCTTTTATGGCGGACAGTAAAACCCAGCTATTCGAAGCGTCAGCCACCTCATATGCTTGCATGTTATTCGCACTAGAATATCACTGGGACTCTGATCTTGGCTAATTTGGTAAACAGCGTGTTCAGCGGACTTCCTGTGTAGTAAAATAAAGCACATGCAAGTACTCACCGGAAGGGAAGGACCAGTCATCAATAGAGACCGTGAGCAGCATATCCGAGCTCTGATGATTCTCCGGTCGTGGGCGTTTCACCAGGAACTTGAGGACGCCCACCACAAGGACATCAAAGAGGAGGGCGCAGAAGAGACAAACCGCCCGCCAACTGTGCAGATTCCTCGGTTGCGGTGCAATGTACGGATCGTAGAATTGGGGCGAAGGGGGTGGCATGAAGTTGCTCATGAAAAGGCCCAGCAACCAGATTATGCTGAAAATGAACCAGGGCACGCCGTGGCAGGACCACTCCAGAGCCAGGCCTATCGATCTTGCTGACGGCAGCATCGCGTCGGTGTCGTACCGATTACGGATAGAACGTGGACTGTTGGGACAGATACAGACGAAGAACGGTAGTAAAGAGAAGCAGAACAAAAAGAGGTCCGCCGTCCGAGCACGCATTCGTCACAACTTCCACAGATAGAAAAAGCAGGACAACGAATATTCGTTCGGCCGGAGCTCAGAGAGCAGATTAAATAACTGAGGCCTAGAACCGGTTTCTCCCTATGCTAGCTGAGATGGGAGAAGGACAGATAAGTGTCATGACGGTAGGAAACCGAACCCGAGTGGTACGACTTTTCCGACATATAGTAGGTTCGTCAACCACAAACGACGGGGACAACTAACCTGCCAGTGACATTTTTGTGGTAAAACAGATTTGTGTTGCATCTGAACCATCGTCTCTTATCGAAAACACCGTACCCAAGTGGCAAGACAAAGCCAAGACGGCTGGGTGTGGACACGGTGACTGAAGAAGTTCAAGACGTCTACCTACCTCGTCTAAAATTCTATGTAAATTTATTTTTACTTGCTTTGATGGGACCCCGACGGGTCTTTAATAAAAAATTATTATTAGTAGTATGTTGATTCCTAACTTCACACGAGCCAGTCCTCAGTGGGGGGTCCCGGATCTCACATGAGTACCATAAATACCGAGTTAAAGAGCCATTGCGGTCTGGTCCTCAGCTCGGTCTAGGACTGACAGCTAACTTTGCGAGGATCCAAGCTATTTCCGGCAACACTAGACGAGTCATCTAACTGTTACTTTTGTGCACTTCACTACGAGAGTGAGAACACCCGACTCTTATTCGAGACGACGAAATCGCATCACGAACCTTTTGGAAACAGACACGGGGCCATTTTAAATTTGACTTTAGAGAGGTGTAACAACTTCGCTTTGGCATGAAGTGCTATGCAGTTGGCTAACAGGTGCAAAAGGGGAATACCGCGTTTTTGAGTGAAGAGGGCTGTTGACAAAGGGCGACTTGTTTAATTTAGCAGCTACTAGATTTAGATAACGAGGTTGGGTGGACTGCGAATTACGACAAACGTTAAAATAATCTGTACCAGGAGGCGCCCAGCTAACACCACCGCGTAGAGCCAGACAAAGCAGTGTAAATGCTGGTCAGCAGAAAAAGTTCTATTTAGTCCAAAAAACTCAAGATGAATCTTGAAAAATACTAAGGTAGTCACAAGTGCAAGCAGCAAAGACGACATAGGCAGGATGGGGTGAAACTTTGTCCATAGGCCAATAAACAGTACTGACACGCGTAAACAGTCCAATTGGAATTAAAAATAATTGCGACCGGCCAAGCAGACAGTCAAGGAAACGAACAAACATACGGAATAAGAAGTGTATATTTTGGTTGTCTAAAGACTTTATTCCCCCTACAATTTGGAGGGCCCTGGATCTGTACAGAAAAGGAGTTCCGGGCAAAAGTATAAAAAACAAGGTTGGTTTGTGACCGTCATGCGAGAGTGGAGGCGATCAAAATAAAGTTGATTCATTTTGGAATCCGTGTCGCGGCAGCTAATCCTGAAATCTAAAACCTCCGGACGTAGACGATCTACGCACCCGGAGAAAGAGCGTCAGTGGCTTCAGTTGGTAACGGCACGGATTCTGAGGTCCTCGGTATGAGTGCGTTAATGAAGGCGTCCGGTTTTGGATCTCGCCCCCGGAAGGCACGAAACACGTCGCGACAGGATATCGCAGTACCAGCTTTGAGCACTGTATTTTGGTAGTGCTTCAACAGATTCCGAACCTACATTACAGAGGGCAGCAGAGGAGTATATGAAGACCGGGGGAAAGCGGTAAGCATCTGCCAGTTGTAACGCAAACAAAACGGTGGGAAGTTAAACAAGTGATTATTTTTGAAAAATTAGGAAACCCTCGCCCCTAACACGAATATCCGAGTTTTTTCAGAATTGGGATGTTTATTTGACAAGATGGCTTATAACGTAACCACTATTCAAGTTTCGCCGTGTAGGCATTCAGTAGTTCCGTTTTCACGAAGTAAACGCTGCAAAAAATAACGGTTGAATAACTGAAGGTAGGTAGGGAAAATAGGCGCAGGTGGTAGTCAGATAAGTCGCTTAGTAACTTAAGACTGGTCCAGACAACTCACCAGAGATACAGCAAGTGAAAAAAGGGCATGAAAACGTGCACAAAGAATAACAGCGTTGATACATGCGAAGAGGCCAGTTGCAGGTAGTAAGAAGACGAAGTACTCGGTGGCTGAACCCATTTTTATTCGTCTGCGTCTCGGATTCGCATTCGAACTCATCAGAGTCGGAGAGAGCAAAAGCGGAACTGGGAGCTGATGAATGCGGTTGCTACGTCGCCACAGGTCTGTTGATCGAACCATTGACTACCGAGCATTCACCGCGGGGGTTCGTAACTGGGGCAACAACTTCCTCATTTCCAGTATTGACAATCGACTTTAACTGCCACCTTCGCTCTCCTGTGCAGTCGTCCGGAAAATTCACCTGCCTCCCCCCTGTAAGTACTCTGTCCAGATTACTGAACCGTGCCCCGTCAGTCAACAAACCTGCGGTGACATAGCAAATGCATCCTATGAATACTGCCGCCTCCTGCGTCCCTTCACCTCCCTGATGTCTTCCTCCGACTTTGAGTTTGAGTACAAATCCTACAAGGCAGGCCAGGAAAGCTCTTGTCATTTAGATCGAGCAAACTGTTTAATGGCCGTATCATCTACGGCCCAAAACGGTGCATAAGCTAGACCTCGGCGGTCGCGAAGTTTCTACATTGGCTCGCGTCCGAAGTCGATTTGGTGGCGGATACCTACCCTAACCAAAAGATACATTCTTTTTGAGTATTTACCAACCCAAGCAAACTCGAAAAATATCTGCCAAATTTGAATAATTATAGACTGGAACGACCAAAGGGTCTTTCACGATTTGAAAAATGAACTCCGTTCAGGAACGGGAAGCCAACTGAGAATTACGCCCAAATGAACAAAATTTACCGGCTCGGAGGTATGGTCTTGCTCAAAGCCAGCTTCAGAGAAAGCCGAGAGGCAGTCAAAGGCAATCAGCTGGCGCCAAATCTCTGAGTACCGTAGGCCGGGGATGCCCTGGGAGCCGAACATTCCGAGCGCGGAGCAGGGCCATTGGTCGTAGGGGTGACGCGGATAGGGCATGTGTTGCACCCAGAGCTGGTCCGATATCGTCTGCCAGTGGCGATTCTTGGAGCTGGCTGACCAGAGCTCCAGATCAAAGCGCGACTCGTAAAGAGAACGCAACAGAGGTAGTGCAACCATTCGACTAATGCCTTGAGTTCCGGCTAGAATCCGCGAAAAAAAGCAGTTAGCAACGGCTACCTGTCACTCGTTGATGCATTAAAGACCACTCGGAGGGCATAAAAATGGTTTCATAGGGGCTGTGGACGGCGAATATTATCACCAGCCGTGTAAGTCGACGTTGCTAATTCCTTGGGCGGTCGTTTCTGAATAATCTGAAAGATTTGTTCCAGGTTGCCTCAACAGTGGCTTAAGACTAAATCGGTGAAACAAATCTAAATTCAGTACCCATTTTAAAGGCTCGTACTAGGGGAGGCCAAGATCCGCGGACAGTCTTAAGGACTCGAACTTTTATGACAATACTGGTCTGAAAGCCGTCACACAGGATCTCGTGAACTTTGGAAAGAAATCAGAAAGTTGCAGCTGTCGCGAAGTGGCTTTCTACCTTTTAACTTCAGAAATAGTCTCAAACTTAAAGAAGTGACGGTGAGGATGCAGTCGTCTGCACTCGTTATGGATACAGCTGCAGAAAATTCTGGTTCTCCTGGAGTTGAATGCAAGGCGGGAAGATATAGAAACCATCACTAGGTCACTGTTGTCGGGCACCACCGGTCCAATGAAAGTTAGGTGGTCAGAACCTGGTGACAGATAGACATCTTGCAAACTCCGAAGTGCTCCGGCAATTATGCAGCCAATTATGCCCTTGAAATCCTCCGCGGGTACACTCAGTCTTGCCACATACGACAGAAGTGGTCTCAAAATACTTCTAAAGATAGCTGTGTACCAAGAGGCAGTGTCGACAGTGGTCAGCTTGTGAGGTGTGAAATCGTCCTTACTTATTTCCCATGGTGTGTCGTTGCATCGGACGGTGTGACCAGGTAAATTTGAGAGGTAGGAAATTGTGCTATCCTTGCAAAATTATCGTATCTTACTAAACGATAGAGGATAAGATTATGACCAAGAGTTCGACATCGGGTCTGGGTCGTTTTAGTTGCCGGAATGGGTGGGAGGACCTTAATAGCGTATGGTATCTGCGTCCTTTGGAGCTAAGCCTCCTGTAGGGAGAGGCCTAAGTCCTTCAAACAAAAAAGATGACATAGTTGACTTTTTTAAAGACTGCGCGCACATGCCTTAACACGAATACGTCGCCTGTGAGTAAATTTGTCGAGGGGCGTCTTAAGGACAATTCGTGACACTGTGGCGAAAAACACACAAAACATGGTCTTGATAATGTTTGTATGAGCACGCTGGAAATCTTCTATCATGAATGCTGACCTTTTGTCAGGTTGCAGGGTGATGACGCTACAAGTTCATCAAGGACAATTACTGGTGGTATCGAAACAAGCAAATGACATCTCGTATATTGCAAGTGACGGCATCCACCATGAACTTCTTAAAAGGGTACACTGGTAACTTACGCGTGGTTTACTTATGATGAAACAGGCGTCTGTTTTATATACCTCAACTTTTCATCCCGCAACAAATGTGCTCCAATGGAAACACTAAGACGACTGGAGGTGGGCGTGGACACGGTGGTCACAGGGGCTAATGCGGCGTCTGCGCGTACAACATTTGTTGGTCACTCGAGCGTGGAAATACCACTTCATGGACCTTTTAGGCAGAACTGACCCCTGAGACTGGCCCGAAGCAGCCATTCGGCAAGCGAACAGCATTTTGTACGACAGTTGGGCCTCAGACAATCTACGGACAACAAGTGGCACGGTTGTCTGTTGCCTTAGTGGATGGAATTAGAACAGCCTTCAAATCCGCATCCAAAGCAGTGTGGTCACGGGTCTAGACTATACAAGCTTGCATAATGAGGCTGGCTGATGTGGCAGCTATAAATTACGTTATTATCAGCACCGTCTTACGCGACATAGCAAGAGGCGCTGACTACTGTAAAATTGTACACGTACTATATAGGCAGTAAAGCATTTACCGTCAAAGTAAAATCGATCACGAACTCGTTTAGCCTTGATCGAAAACCCGCCAGGGGCGTCATCGTGTGACACACAACAGAGAGGGTAACAGAAAGTGCCTACCGATTACGTTGGCTGGGCCTGACCTCCAGCCGGAACCTCTCCGGGAGCCAGTTGTTGAGCGATCCTCTCCGAAAACGGATCTACGCAAGCTGCTCGAACGTAGAAGTAGGAGCTGCAGAAGGTCGTGGGTGAGAAAGAAGTTGTCCCGCATCGGACTACCCCCTGTGGATCCTGCGAAGGTCACTCCTGGCAGAGGCACGGAAAGCCCAGTGAACATGTGGCAGGGTGTCCGGCTGATGACGTGCTGCAAGCAGGTTCCGAAAGCAGCGGCGACGCTTAATGCTTCCTAAAAGGAAGATCAACTTCGAATGACATGCCAGCGGGCTACAAGCACCTCAGCTAGTTAAGCCACAATGAAAAGGAGTTTTCTATGCGGGCCAAGCCCGACTGATATTGTCCTCCGAACTGCAGTAGCTTCCAACTTTTCGCCACTATCACCCAACGTGGTCCAGTGAGATTCTTGAAACGGAGAGCCAACCACTCATGAAGATGATCGCACTGAGAAGGACGGTCAGAGGGTAGTCCCAGTTAGAAAATCAATGAAGTCGCAGAGAGGTGAGATGTAGAACTGCCAGCAATTTAAACTATATGTCGTGTTTAACAAGGCTTCGGACCAATCAGATGACTGTTGTGGCCCAGCAGCCACTCTTCTTCTCCTACTTATTGGTGCAGTGATAGTTGGCATTTGCTTGAGGCACTTTCCTATCTGACGATGTGATTGAGTCCTGAACTGGGTTCCCATACTCCAGGTAACAGTCGGGTCAACCGATATGGCATTTCGTTCAACACAAATGATGATGAATACAGTCGAGATTTCCATCTCCTATGACGGATTGAAAGGGGACCAGAAACTAAAGAAGAAAGTTAGCCAAGCAACCATTTATACAACCATATGCCAGCCAGAGGCGAGAGACAGTTTGGTGCTGGTGACTCGGTTTTACCTACTTATTTGCCTGTCGGGATGACAAGGCTCGGGTTTACGGCTCGTTATTTCACTCAAATTCACTAGGCAGCGCACAAGTACATTAAAATATGCACATACGACCACGTGCTGGCTTCTGTGCAAAACTTGAATGACGACGCCAACGCAGCGGTTGATATAAAGAAGCTGTTGTCTACAGGTTGCAACAGTGTTCAGAGGCAAAACGCGTTAATGCAGCGAGACTGTGGCTGATTAAAGTGGCAGGCAGCAACAGGGTCAGGCGTCCTCGGAATGCAAAACCCAGTTCCACCCAAACAATGCATAGCTGCGTTACTGCCTAGCAACTGTTGCCCGTCATCTAACAAGACTTCGCGCGCCGCCGTCTGAACCCTTCAACTGGTGCGGTCTGATGAAGACGTCCGCCTTGGAACCCATAAGTACAAGAAAAAAATTAAGCTACCTAGCTGCTTCCCAAACAACTTCTATCTGGCGAGCTAAGGTTTAACTGAGTTATTGACCGCCGGTGGGTTATGGTCCAAGAACTTTGACTGAACTTGGTGGAGGCTAGTGGCGTTAATTTATGACAATGCAAAGTCAATTCTTCCTCTCAGAAAAGAATAATAAAACACTTGTATCTTGTAGATGTTTCCTAAAAAGTCACGTCCCCTTTGGTTTGAATAACGGGAAATATACAATGTAAGGTGTTTATAGGATTCCTGCATAGAGTTAGGACTACCTTAAGATGGACATATGATAGAGGCAGGGTGAAAATGGCGTCTAAAAGTCAAATTTAGTAAATTTCCATACGTAGTAACCTCGAAACAACCGTTATGTGAAACAAGTTACAGTCCAACTTTCGAGGCTGTTAAGACATGCTACTGTTGCTGATCTTTGGCCCCATAAGAACTGGTTCATTGGAGCCAGGTCAGACGAACGGAGTGTTTAAGCAATTAGTTCATGCCTGCGGATTCGCTTTGCTGAGAGAAGGTCAGTCAAAATGCGCCGCATGCGCAAGGCATTCTTCTCCAAGCATTGCTACCCAGGAGATATGATTGTTGTGGTTCACGGACAAAACACAGAATACTCTCAGACAGCAAGCACAATTGTCCGCTACCTCATAACGATGGAGTGAACCACTGACGCAGGGTTTCCTGGAAGGGTTTCCTGATGGTCCCTTTGACTGCGTTTATGTTGGAAAACCGCGGTAGGTTGCTCCTACTTTGTTATATTTTATGAGTCTTAGAAGGCCAGTGCATGGTAACATGACAGTTGTGTGAGGGTGTTTTCAAGCAGCATGCATGGTTGATAGGTTGGAAACGAAAAACAACAAAGTGAATAAGACCACTTAAGAATCGAGACATCTCACTTTTTCAAATGCAATTTTCAGGAAGAGGAGAGCTCCCACAGAAAGTGAATTCTTATCAGGTTTTAGAAACACAAATAATGCTCTCAAATCGACGTCGGAAAACAGTGCACAGATTAACCGCTGTACAAGTGGCGAACTCTCTCACGAACGGGGTTATCCAAGGTATTTGATTGGTTTTCACAGGGGACTTAATATGCCTCTATGAGAGCATGCTGCATACAGTATAATTTTTTATTAAAGACCCGTCGGGGTCCCATCAATGCTGAACACCCAATCAGTATCTTTCCATCCCGAGGCATCGGTCGGTGTAAGCACTTGGTTGCTTGACTGTAGGGCTGGGAAGCCACCTAAAGTAGGGTGGAATTACAGAAGACGGTTACTGTGATTGCACACACCTCATACAAACGCGGGTGACACCAGCAACAGGAATGAGGTTTTGAAAGGATCTCTGAGGGGATTTGCCTGAACTCTTAAAATGTAGAGTAGATGAAGGGGACGGGTGGGCATACTCAGATTCCGGAGAAAGGATACCTTGCATTATTTAGGATGCTGACCCAGTGAGCTGCGATGCAGTGGGAGGTTGTCGAGTAGCAGAGGAGGTTTAGATCTCCAACAGGATAAAAAGACCTAGCCCACTAGATATTGCCGTCGAATCAAGAGTCTAAGCCCGCTTTTTCAACGTCACACTACTCCGAAGGATTTCACCGGTTTGGTGTGGCGAGTCTGCATTGCCAAATCAAGACCGGAGAGCCACGATTTCATAAAATTCAAATGGTAAAAATACTTACAAAATGGCCTTCTTCACCTTCTAATTTCGCCGTTCTAACAGTAAACTAACATTTTCACAGTTGCTGGGCTCGAAATCGCAATAAAAACGCCTTCGAACGGCAAGCGTGTCTCGCCACCCGGAGGAGAGAAAGGGTTTTGAAGGCGGGGGAGAGAGACAGAGAGACTTACGACTTCAGATAGGCCAACAACAGCGGCTTCGGGGGGCAGATTGCCAAATAGACCTGCCACAGAGAACTTAGCGCATGCCGGTGCCTCAGAGTTGGAATGTGATGGGTAGGCCGTGACGAGTGGAACCGCGGTGATCGCCTCAACGGAGTTCGGAACCCATGACCTGGTGCAACCAAAAAAGAACCGACGAAGTACAAAATGAGCACCAGTCAAGTAGCGGCGACAAATGGGAAAGAGCAGAACTAAGCCTAGAGTCCAAAAGAGGGCCTACGCTCTGGACGGTGGAGGAAATCGGACATTGAAACCCAACTCCGTAAGTTAAGTGCAGTCACTAGTAAGGAGACAAACTCGATTTATAAGTGAAAACGACAATTTTGTTGACTGTCCACGTGCTCTTTGTTCCTGACAAAACCCTTAACAGCATGACCGCCCGTTAAGAAACAATCTGCACAAGCTTCCAGTTCATATGTTTTAAAGGAATTTGTAAGACCAGGTTATCTGTCAGACAGTACAGCGGTGTCATGGACCGCAACTGGATGTTTACCCTACACGAAGATCTTGCCCCCTCTTTTCAGCTTTCTGTTCAAGTGAAGTACTTATGTGAGTTAAACACAATATAAGAGCACATAGCCTACCTTCCGAGCTTTTTTGTTTCTCGTCAAATATGCTGCTCCCTGAACTGTTGGCCCGCAAACTGTGAGTTCGAAGGAATTTCCCAAGTACGACAGGCTGGTAAAAGACAACACCGTGTACAATTGACTTCGAGCCAGACCGGAGTCAATCGGAAGACCTAGAACCGACCGGCACCCTTAGCATTCACGCCATGTTGACGCAACTGCAGCTACGTCGGAGCGGCCATCTCGTGAAGACGGAGGTCACACGTCTACCAAAACAACTATTCTATAGTGATGTCGTCACGGGTACTCTTTGACCAGGAGAACAAAAAGATGCTACAAGGACACTTTGAAGAACTCTCTGAAACGGCTGCAGATCCAGCCGGAGATCTCGGAGGATCTAGCTCAGAACAGACCGGTATGCTGAAGAAAAATGAAGACCAGAGCAGCCACCTACGAAGCAAACCGGATCACAGCCGCCAAAGCCAAATGGGAGGCTCGTAAGTCACAACTTTACTTACTTGTACTTGGTACGGCTGCGATCATGCCTGATCTAGCCGGCCTCGATGATGTCCCGAATTGTACCTCTCCACGCGTGACGATCCGCGGCCGCAGATCTAGACAGTTCAACCCATTCCCTTCGCCAACGACGGAGACCGAATACCGAAGGTCCAAGAACCACCTCCATGTCTTGACGGACAGTGTCGAGCCAGGTTTTGAACTGACCCCCTCTTCGACGCCTCCAATTGGGCAACGGTGCCGGATCGAGGGCAGTAACACTGAGCTCCTGAGGTGGACGACGAAGAACATGCCCGAACCACCTCAGTCGTCTTTCTTGGGTGGCCTGAGTTATCCTCGCGATGTTGTCGCAGCGAGCGCGGACTATCTCATTTGAGACGAAGTCGGTTAACTTCACTCGAAGGATGATCCTCAAGCAGTGGTGGTCAAATACCTCCAGTTTTCGCTCATCCGCCACACGCAAAGCCCAGCACTCACAACCGTAGAGAAGGACAGACCGGACAGATGCACGGTACACGCGAATCTTAGTGGCGATGGAGAGGTCACGTCGGTTCCACAGGCATTTCCGAAGGCTTGAAAAAACCCAGCGGGCAGCATCGATTCGGGAGACAATGTCGTCCTTACTCTGTCCATTAGGCAGCAGCCGCGCCCCCAGGTATTTAAAACTGTCCACTTCTTCAAGTTGACAGCCATCAATCCCCAGGGGTGCCTTCTCCTGGTCAGGAATGCAGCTTGAGAATACTTTGGTCTTCCCAGCGTTTATGGACATACCGACTGATTTAGCGACCTCGTTCACTCGTGACACCATAGACTGCAGATCACCAAAACTTGAAGCAAGTAAGGCGATATCATCGGCATAGTCGAGATCAGTCAGTCGATGTCCGGGTGCAAATTCAACACCGTCACTGTCGCGTAGCGCCCTCCCGAGGATCCAGTCAATAGCGTAGTTGAACAGTATGGGTGACAGTATACAACCCTGTCGGACGCCAGACCGAATACCGAACGGTTGGGAAAAATTGTTACGGACCAGGACTCTCGCAGTAGTGGAACGATAGTAGGCCTTGATCATGGCGACGATTTTGGCCGGTACACCATCTAGCGCCATTATCCGCCACAGGGACTCACGGTGAACGGAATCGAACGCGGCGGCAAAGTCAACGAAGCAGACGGCCGTCGGTTGTTGGTAGCTATGGCGAAATTCGAGAATGCGCCTCAGTGTGAATATCTGATCTGCGCATCCACGTCCAGCACGAAATCCGGCTTGGTTGGGCCTCGTCCTTGAGTCACGCACAGCCTGGAATCGTCCGAGTAGGACAATAGCGAAGATCTTCGCAGCAACGTCGATGAGACTTATGCCGCGGTAGTTCTCACATCTCGTCTTATCTCCCTTCTTGAGGATAGGTACAAGGATGCCTAAGCCCCAGTCATCAGGAACAACTTCGTCTCTCCACGCGCGTTCAATTACCTCATGGAGCCAGGGCGCCAGAGTGTCGACACAAGATTTAAAGATTTCAGCGGGTATACCGTCCTCTCCGGGTGCCTTATTGTTGCGCAACTTTCGTATGGCATCGGCGACTTCTTCCTCGGAGGGGGGATCGCATGGCACTGCATAGGTAGGAGAGGGAAGAAACTCCGCTGAGGAGGAGAGCAAGGGCGATGCAGGTTGGGTATCGAAGTTGAGATGGTGCTCAAAGTGCTCACGCCAGCGCTCGACTTTGGCCGAGTTGTCAGCAATAAAGCCGCCGTTCACATCGCGAACAGAGTCACTCAGTGTAGAGGGCTTACCGCTAACTTGGCGGATCAGACGGTAGAGCTTTCGAGTGTCACCAACGTTCGAGGCCTGTTCCATGGATGTCGCTATTTCAGCCCAATATTGTTTCCGGTCATCCCTAGCCGATTTTGCCGTCATCTTCCGAAGTTGGCGGAAATGGTCATCGTTGCGGGACCTGGCTCTAGCCGTCTGAGCAGACAACTCCAGGGTTCTTCCGCTGATCCAGTCACTGCGGCGTCGCTGGGTGTATCCAAGGATTTTCTCAGCTGCCCCATAGACTGATGTCTTCAGTGACGACCACTGGTTACTGACTTCTCCGTCGACTCGGGCCGTAAAACAGGTCCGGATTTCTCCGCTTAGGGCCTCGGCAGTGCTGGCTTGCCGGATTTTTGCGACATTGAGGCGTCTAGGACGTGGCATTTTTGGTACGGATGAGAGGTGAACTTTCAGGCGTGTACGGACGAGGACATGATCCGACCCATGGGCGTTACCAGTCTCGGCACCACGCATCGATCTGCTATCATGAACCCAGCTGCGGAACCTTGAGCTGACTAGTATGTAGTCAATCTGACTGGCCGTACGACCGTCGTTTGAATACCAGGTCAGCAGATGTTTTTTGCGATGCTGGAAGCATGTGTTGGTGACAAGCAGTCGGTTTCGATCAGCGAAGTTCAGCAATCTCTCACCATTTTCGCATCGAGAACCAAGCCCAAAGAGGCCAAGAAGATGACTGGTTGTGGGGTCGCCAGGTCCAGTTCGACCATTCCAATCGCCAGCAACAATCAGCAGATCGCGGCGAGGCAGTCTTTCAACTAGTGCTTGCAACTGAGAGTAAAACGCCTCTTTATCGCGCTGTTCGGCAGCCGAAGTTGGTGCGTACACAGCGACGATGGAGATGTTCGTGAAGTGACCCTTCAGTCGCACGTAGGCCATCCGGTCATTTACTGGTTCCCAAGCAAGTAGCGCAAGCTCCGCTTGTTGTGATAAGGCGATCGCCACACCGTGTCGACCAGAGGAATCGCGGGGGCCGCTGTGGTACAGAGTGAAGTGGGATTCGACTCCCGGGATCTTTATTTCACGAGAGCCCGAGTCAGGAAGTCGTACCTCAGACAGACAGCAGACATCCACGTTGTACTGATGAAGGCTGCGTGCGGTCAGACTTTGGGTACCAGGGTCCAGGAACGTTCGTACATTCCAGCATCCAATACCGAGAGTCCTTCCACGATTGAGTAGTCCAGCTCGCATACTATTCGCCCGCACCACCGGACTAGGGTTGCGGAGCGCGTCGGTTCCCGCGGACGCCGTAGCATGGGTCGTAGTACTGTTATTGGACATGTTGCATGAGGTTTCTTGGGAATTTCGAATACGGGCGGGTCCCCAACAGCCGCTCGGATTGTTTGTTCGAGGTTGTCTCCTCTAGCGCTTTGGCTCAAAAACCTAACCACAAGGCAGCGGTGGCAAGTAAACTTATTTAATGGCGGTTTACGGTCGCCATGCCACAATGCCGTCATTGGGCTTTGCGGCATTTTATAAGGCTTTCAGCGTGCCAGACTTCAGCCCACCGCACCCTGGTAGCAATGTCGCTGCTGGTCCGCGACTGCTTATTCGTCAGACCTGGGTCTGCTTATTTCGCAGCTAACCTTCACTGAAGGTCGTCCCACTATCCGCCACCTGTGGACGCGCCGGGTAGCCAGCAGCTAGGCTAACGGGCAACCCGTCTTCCCGGCAACCCGGCAACCTCGCCTCCTCAATGCCAACCGTCAACCGCTTCCAGTATGTCCGTGCACGAATCGGTCTCGTGGGACACCTTCGGACCCAATGTGTCGGCTACCCGACGCTCGTTCCCGATGCAAACCCAGCGCCGACCGCTACTCCCGTCACCGCCGACCACACTGTCGCCATCCCGATGCCACCAACCACCGGCACCATCCATCCTGCCTCAAGCCCTGCGTCGACCACAGCGACCAGCGCATACACCACCACAACATCACGCACTCCCCTCACCGATGGGGTGACGTCCGACGTCCCATCACCTGCCATCATCAACACCCCCACCTCAAGTGATGTGGACTCGGCCCATACCTGTTCTCATTGCGTTCGCGCATTCACCTCACGCATCGCCCTGATCGGTCACTTGCGAACCCATTGCACAGACACTGGCGAACCAGTGCCTGGAGCACCACCATACACTCGTCGCATCCGCCTCCACTGCCCCGCACATTCACTCACCGCATGGGCCGATACGGTCATATGCGCATTCATGAAGACCAACGGTAGACAACCGCCGGCTGCACCACAACTTCACCTACCAACTCCTGTACCACACAACATCTCCCATCACCACATAACGCAAGGACCCAATTGCTAAATTCGCATAAGTGGGAAGCACGCTTCTCGGCTCCTTCTCCATGCGGCCCCGCTGCTGCATGCGCGATCCGAACCTAAGACTATCATAGTACGCAAAGCACCGTGGCTTCGAAGGCTGTCGACTGACGCCTCAGTTCAGTTCGCACAGTCTACTTAGTTGCGTATTTTTGTGAAGTGACAAACTGGTGGGCTGAGAATAGAGCAGACACAACTCCTTCTTAAAGTTACCTTTGGCACTCTCACACATGCGAGAAATGTGTGTGTACTTAGTTGGTAGTGCCTGTCAGTCAATGACTGACTAGTTACCCGGCCTTAGAAGGGTGGTGGCCCAGGCAAATGTAGGGCTACGTGTCACCCTTCTGGGCCTCAAGGAACGTAGGCGTCTGCCATGCCAAGACTAGCAAACCATGGTCTCTGCAGCCCAGCGCGCGCTGGTAGTTCTCTGGCACCTGGTTCCCTGCCGGTAGATGCGTTTCAGCCCCTGCTGAGTATACAGGTCGTATGCATGGCTGACCAGTCATTCTTCCCTTTGTGACCCGTTGTGATGCTGTCGTTGTTGGTTAAAATCCTGGTCAAGTGTTTGTTGTGGACCAGGGGGTATGGTGGTACGCCTAGGTGCGGGTTCAGCCGTGTTAACTACCTGCGCCCTCTCTCACCTCCGGTCTTTTTAACTATGTCTTGACACCGGGCCCAGGTGGGGAGAGGGCGAGTGCGGTAGATGCTGCACAAGACGCCGTGCCTGTCTCACCTTGTTATGGAGCACACGGTGGACATCGTCGAGTACGACGGTCGAACTACCATCTGCAACGAGCCTATAATTTAGCCTATTTCAAAAGAAGGCAAAATACCTGGTCTGGCTGTTTGCGGAGTCCGTGGTGTTTTGTGCAAAAAATACGCTCTTGTCCAATTGCGGAGACATTTTAAAGACTTGTTGACCAAAGTATTGAGGGCTGTTTCGGTGACATTTGAGTCAAAGTCTGTCATTTGCTTCGAAAGGAGGACGTAACACAACAGATGGCAGGCTGCTCGTACAGGCGAAAATGCGAGTCTCAGGAAGCAGTTGAGAACTAGGTGTGAGCGCTGAAACAAGAACTTGTTCCTCGGGGCGCCCATTTCAGTGTGAAGGAACGTGTGCCATGTAACCTTGAACAGTCTTGGTTGCTGTCAGCGGGGCGTGAGCCAGCAAATCCATGGTCCGGGCGTTTGGGTTTACCCGAGCCCGGATTAGGGTACGGCCGCAAGATGAGGGCAAAAAGCGATAAATGAACACATCAGTCTCACTTGTCTTTTCCAACAATACTTCTGAAGACAGTTTGCATGTGACTTACCGAACTACCTAATCTGTACCGGCAGACTACAATATTCGGACTGGCAGTAAATAGCAGAAAACCCCGCACTACAACAATGATTGATATAGTTTTATTCCTTTGGATCAAGACGTTCCATAAATGGACATGCCCTTGAAATTCAATAAATAGAAACTAGTCGAGGAAAGGAATGAGTAAAACAGTCACTGATTGACCGCCTGTAAGGACTATAAAAGGAAACCCTAAAACAAAGAAGTTGCCTCTGCTCCATCCTAGAAACGGGGTGGAGCGATGAACGTCATATCAAAATGTTCATTTCGCTGCCTTGTTTCATGGAAATAAAGACGCTCACAGTTCGCCGACATGGCACCTTACATGCCGGCCTGAGGTCATTTATAGTTATTGCGCTTAAAAGACAAGAATGTTGTGTTCTTATTAAAATAACCTGAGTATTTCCACAACTTTGGAAGGAGATAAAGTTCTTTGTTGTGTTCAAAATATCAACAAGTGCACCCTAAATTTGCGCTGTTACACTATCCGCCAGAGTACACCACGACAGATCGGTATGTGCTAATTCAGTGTTAATAAATATTCAATTCAAACCAAAAATGACTGACTGCTGCAGAAGCACCGATGGAACCGTGCTGAGGACCCATCGGTTTGGTCCACGCGCACCGCCTGTGGATGCGCATTTCCGAGGGGTAAATAGACAACTGCCTGAAACAACTGCTCTCTTAGTCTCACCCGCCCTTGCCGGTCCACTTATGGAAAGGAAAGGTTGCGCCTTTATAGCGCACTGGTAGGACGGTCTTCAAAGACTGCAAAGCATTCTGCTAAGAACAAATTTGTGTTTGTGAATAAAAGAGAATAATAGTTGGTTGTCTGATAAGTACCATTTCAGTATGAAATCTGGACAAGAAATAAACCCTTATCCTTTTTTATCCGTCCGGGTGCTATGGTTGAATCCCATTATGACCATGATTTCCTTCATAAGCATAACCCGTTTTTGATCCAATCATCCAAGCCAACCAGAAAACTACCCATCCTAGTGGCAAGAGCCGTTAAATGTCCGTTTGTGTGCGCTAGGTTTCAATCAAAATAATAAGCGTCAGAGATTTGCTTTCGAATAACAGGTTTTTTAAAGTTGGACAGCTGACAATCTTTAGACCGAGAGGACTGCTCAATAATCATGCAATAACGGTGCAATGCAGCATACTTTGCACAAATGTTCACAATGATCTCGCCTGCCTTCTCTGGGCCTCCCTGCTCCGGCCGAAGAACCTCGTAGATCGCGCCGTCGGGTAGGTCCAGTGCCGCAGCGTGGCCCTCTCCGGCCGGCAGACGACGCACTTTTAGTCCAAGGAGGTCACCCAGTCTCGTGAAGATGTTGTCCACAGTGGCCTGCAGGGGAAGACGTCTTTCGTTGCGCGGATCGGTGAGGAGACTGGCACCCGGCGTCACCGACGTGATGTGGTTGTACTGTTCGATGGCATAGTCTATATCGAAGTGCTCTAAATTTGCTGCGGAGGGACGAAGAAGGGGAATGAAAATAATGAGGAGATAGCTCAAGTCAGTAGTTACGCGTGATTGATGAGTCAGTGTAAGAGAATACCTGGTGCAAATGTGGTCGCCCAGCTACGATGTTAGTATAACACAGATTAAGCACACGCAGCAAATACCAGTTTCAAAAGTGGTTGTACCCACCATGGGTTGGACCCAGCATACTACCTAAAATAAAGTGAGGCGACAGGTAAGTGGGGGTGACGATAGACAGCGCTGCTGCAGGAAAAAAACTTGGGTCATTTTTGAGTAAGGAAGACGAACGGAGCGAACTATATGGTCTACAGGGAAGAAAAGAATGTGACCTTATTCGTGACTGTATCTATTGTAATAATCAACGTCTTTAGCGCCAACACTGTTACTGCCACCCTCCCCACCACTAGAATCATCATCGTAGAATAGACAGCACGAAAAATCCTGAGCAGAAATCACCAGAATGATGAGGGCCAGACCTGTACCTACTAGTACTTCGTAGGGCTGTAGTCATGCCTGATCTAGCCCGTCTTAGTGTTAACACAGATTACACCTCTCCAAGCGTGATGGTCTGCAGCAGCAGATATGGACATCTTGATTCACTCGCTTCTCGATTGAGGGAGACAGAATATTGGATGTTCAGGAACCACCTCCATGCCTAGTAAACTGTGTCCAGCCAAGTCTTACGCTGACCTCCTCTTCGACGTCTCTCGACCAACAGGTACGTCGGATCAAGGGCAGCAACGTTGGACTCGTGGGGTGGATGACAAACGACTTTCCAAATCACCTCAGTCTCTCTTCAAAGGCCTAAAATAACAGCACGGTGTTTTCGCAGCGATTGCGAACTCCCTCGACTATGACGGTATAATTTACTCGGAGGATGTTTCTCAGTCAACGGTGAACGACTATCGCCAGTTTTCGCTCGCATTGACAAGTGTGCAGAAGGACTGGTCAGAGGGATGCTCGGTACATTGGGATCTTTGTGGTGATGAGGACAGCGCATCGAGTTTAGACACTTTCTAAGGATTGCGAAAACCCTGCGTGCAGCATGGATGCACATTCGCCAAAAGGTATTTGGAAAAATCCATTTCTCTATGTTCCAACCGCAAATTCCAAAGGGGTGACATCTCATAGTCAAAACGGCAGCTTTAAGACACTTTGGTCTTTCTTGAATTTAGGAATAAATCGACTGTTTATCGACCTTACTCAGTCGGTAGACTAACGAGTGTACTAAACTGCGAAAATCTTTGCATTGAGATTTCATTCAAGCATACCACGAACTACCTCAAAATGGTCCTCACAAAGATGACAAAATTGAGTGAAAATAGTGCGCATGCTATAAAACGTTGGGTAGTGGGATTGAATACAGGTAACTGACCGGAATGATTAATTGCAAGGATCACTACATTTAGTTAGGCAGGTTACGAGAATGGAAGTTACTTGGCGACCATGAAGACGAATTGAGGATAAAAAGAAAAGTTTTAAGACAATAAGTAAATTGGCTTTAATCGCATGAAAATTTCATGAAATTCGGAACATTCGGCTTTGGCCAAAACGTAAGCTCTGGGTCGCACGATCTACGTATGAAATCTTTAAAATAGAATCAACAGTTTAACGCCCGCTAAGTGTGATGCACGTTTTCTTTGGTACGCGTAAATCCAAACCACAGAGAACCTTTGGAGAAAAAGCCAGATACTATGTTCTACAGTTTATCATTTACAAAACCAGACAGATTGGCTTCGCTTGACTTACCAAAAGGGGTAAGTTCAGCACGTGAGAAAGTACGTTTTAAAGCTAGTCAGGTACGCACGTGTCGATTGAGCTGCGAAAACCAAAACTAGACCCAAAGACAGATGAAACCTCCTTGAAAATACCGTTGCACTGTCGAAACAGTCGCTCAAGAAACCACTTGGACAATAATACGTCTGACATACAGGGAAAAGGTTAGCTGTAATGCGGTGGTAAAGGTGGCAGTCACTCTCAAATTATGACTTCTGACCTGTGGGAACCGAAGAATGCTAGCAGGCGTAAAAATGCCTACTATTCTGATAAAAACTGTCTTGTCCTGCTTTTACAGAGAGTAGTTGTTGCCGACGGAATGGTTTAACCTTACACAAACACCAAAAATTGTTCTAACACTGCAGAAGCAATTCCGCTGAGGCAGGAACTTACGCGGAATCCGCAGATAGGGTGGTGCCCACTCGCTGAGTACAACCCACTCAAGTTTCCCAAGTGGTAGGAGTTTTTTTCGCAGCGGTTCAAGCACTTCTTTGACGAGCTTCTCCGGACTCTCGGGACCACGACCTCCAGGAGAAGATCGATGCCAAACCAAGGAGAGCCAATCGGGGACGTTGAACTGTTCCGCCACCTGAGAACGAAGTTTCCGTATATTTTGAATCCGCTCATCATTTGCTGCATGCTGACCAGAGGCGCCCCCAAAGTTACGAGTGCTTGCCCTTTGGACCAGCGCCCGCCATACCGTGCGACGAATCTGCCATATAAAATTTATTTCCCAAAAAATAACTTACTGGATTTAATTATAAAGGAAGTAATCTAGCAAACCGCGGCTTCAAACAAGCAAAAAATACAAGTACCGACCTACCTCACGGTTGCTGCAGTGTCGTAGAAAAATTAGTGCAGTGCGATCGATGCCCAGATTGACCCGCATTCCCGTCACGTAACCACCCTCGAGACGACCGCCCAGGGCTCGGGACAGCCAGGGCGGGGCGGACGCCGCGAGATCGGACTCCGCCACTGGCACTTGCCCTTGATCTTCGGGGGAGAGCGCATTTGCAAGGTATTCGGGCAGTTGGGTGTCGATGCTCTGGGAATTCTGGTATCGTCCAGTGAGCCTGGCTCCGAGCTGAGTTTGCGGTAAACTAACAAAGGCACTACTAGCAACCATGAGCTCGAACTCACGTTCAATGCGAGTCAGCTCAGCGCGCAGGTACTGCAGCTCGGAGAGGCGCTTCTGGGCCTGACGCGCAGAAAGGTTGTGAGGAAAGTGGCTCACAGGGCAAGAGGCACATTCTGTAAGCCCCGAAGGAGGTGGATCAGTCTTTCCAGACGCCACGGTAGACAGTCCGGCACCGCAGGCCCAGCTTTCGGCCAGAAACTGCTGCAAAATGCCTATGCGAGGAAGAATTTTTATAAACCAGTAAAGCAACTCGATAAACACAGTAAAGTGTGAGATTTGGGGACAAGTAACGTACGATTACTATGTACAAGAGTGACCGTGGAAGTTAACGACGGCCCAGAGAGTTCGAAAGCTCATGAGACAGTTAGATGGAACTTGAGAAGGTTCTTACCTGCATTTTCACTAACAACTGCTACATTTGTTCTGCAAACTTTGGGCCGGGATTCCCTCCCAACCTCGAAGTAAGGTGTTTCTGTGTTAAACTGCGTGTGTTAGGAGTTAGACTGGAAGGGTGCCAGTCAGCCTTTTCATGAGCCACGATTTTTGACCGAAATGTGGGGTTTTAATCACATTTAGCTGGATTAAAGACTCCGCTGTTTGCACCCAACTGGTCAGGGTGAGTTTGATGCTTAAAGAACATGATTTGCAGCTAGCTATAGAATCGTCCAGTATCTTCCGTAACAGAATGCCTGAAATGAGCTCGAGTCACCGGTAGTCTGGCAACGCTAATTGTTGAGCAATCCGACTTACGAACTTATAATTTAATAACAGACCAAAGACTGTCTGGCAAAGTACTGGAGGCAGTTCATTCGGAGCAAGCGATGAAGATGCTCCACCATAAATTCCAGGCGGTTAACACTGATAAGAGGACTTTTCAGAAGTCTGTAAACAGACCGTAATGCGTTATGTCAAGTAAGGCTGTTTATCCTCTATCCAACAAACTTCGAAGCAAATATAATAAAAACACAAAAAGTCACCGTTTGCGGTTGAGGAAGTTAGAGAAGCTCACCGGTGTTGTGGCTAGCAGTGAGTTTTGTCTGCATAACCACATTTGAATCAAGCATTCAAAAACGCTCTTAAGTGTTAAGACAGTAAAAAAAGAACGGCTTGGACAGGGCACATCTGAACCCTACGACACTATGCAGTTCGATGACTTTAGAGCGGTTAAAAACTAGTAAATGGTTTAGCACTTTTCTCGTCATAAAGGCTAAAACTGTTGATTTATGACTTGTTGAGCGCCGTAAGTATGGCAAACGATGATGGCCAAGACAAAAAGCACAAAGGCAATACTCCATAAGACGTAAAATACAATAATATACAGCATTATTTCTATTTACCGAGGCCGAATCCATACGAGAGCTACGAACGCAACCGCAGAACGGAGCCTAAAGTCCGTGTTTACCATGTCAAAAACTAAAAGCCGCCTAGATGTTATGCAACTTTATAATAAGCAAGACTTGGGCGGACGGTCGATGACGGAGACGCGGTGATCTAATTTCCAGGCTGTGCAGGGGAGCTCCGAACATGTAAATAGGTTCCTGATATAAAATGGATCGAGGATTCAGGCTCGAACCATGGACGCGCTAGCAATTAAATACAAAACTATCATGTTCACACTGAAAGATGAGGGATTCTAACCTTTCCTTGATCCATCAGGATCATTCAGATTCAGAAGAATTTTGTGCAGAGCCTCATATATAGCCGCATCCGAGTAAAAGTGCTCGCATTGGGCTTGTAGAACCTTAGATAACAGCCGACCGCCAATGAGCCGCCAGATGGAATTGTCTTGGATAATCCCGAAGCCACCAAGTAACTGCATGGAGTATTGCAGGGGGAATATGATTTCGTCCAGTTTGCCAACCAAATTATCGAAGGTTAGGTCAAATTTTCCTTGCTTGACTTCCTCTGAGAGTTGCGTGAGAGAAACTTGGTATTCAATTATAAGTTTTGAAACCCCCGTGAACACATCTTCGGGCTTTACCGTTCGAAAACTAAAAGTATCTAACTGTCACAGTCGCAGTACCTTGGTAGGTGTGCATGATTCAAAATGGGATTTCTTGAAGTGTCATCACTCGGAATCTCCGGGATGACATAATAAAACTGTCCACGTGATTCGGTAAATGCGTCTGATGAAAATATTGACCGTAGGCACTCGCGACGGGGGAAGCGGGCAAGATGTCGAGAGACTCCGCGCAACATCGAGAAACCAGTGTCAAATGTGCGTCGGCCACCTGTCCGACTGGAGCGCGTTGAGCAACAGCTCATTATAACTCGAACATTTAGAACTCGAAAAGCTCAATTTATAAGTCTATTTTTGCGTAGTGTTCAAGAGATAAGAATGACTGTGAACAAGAAACATGGCAGGCGCAAAACTTAGCACGTCTGCTTGACAAAGGTTTTTACGGCTCGAAGCGTGGTCAAGTATTCAATTTTTCCTGGTCTTAATATGTATCAGATTTCAAACCGCAGAGTAGCCCAAGCCTGCATTATCAACTATTTTCAGAGACGTCAGTGATTTTAAAACAAAGCATAAACACTTCAGATCTTAAAAACAATCTGGGAGGACAAGTTCAATAGTGAAATAGTAAGACAATAGGCGAATATGTGCGCATCAAACTTAGATTCGTATACTAGAACTCCTTAAGTGTTACAATAAATTAGAATATGCCAAAAAGCAAATGAGGAATCATCGGAAGAGTAAAAAATAATTTTCGAAAACATTACCGATAAACGAATGATCTGCAGTTTTAGCAGTACTGGCAGATAGAAGCAACACTCCCAAAGAAGGATATCCCAGAATGCTCCAAGAACTCGATTAGCCAATGAGTCACGTCCTTCATGATACCCATAAACCACGTCGAACCATCTCCTTCGCAAAGATAAAGACCACTGGGGAATTAAATAAGGTCGAAGAAAGTGTCATTTTCCTACGTAACCGGCATGTCAAGGTGTCCGTGACTCAGTGCTTAGGGGCAGTGGACATCTAACCAAGAGGTCGCGGATCGAGCCCCAAATTTTTAACACGTCGGGATTAGGTGGGACTGGCTGCCGGCGGTTAATAAGCCAGAAACAACCATTCTAGGATCCACTGTCTCTGCTGGCAGTGTTATTTTGCCTCTCCCCTATATCTAATTTATATATATCGGAACGCAGTCATCCCAAGAAATATAATTTGAAATCAAGTACGTTCTTTGGGAAAGAGAGAAAACTTTATTGATCAATACGGACTGACACATACGACGGCAGCTTACTAGCTGAGGCACCAAATGAGTATTGATTTTGTAGAACGTTTGAAATTTTAATTGTTTTCTGCACATTTTCTCTAGACTGACGACGACACGGGGAACCGACGTCGAAAATTTACTCAATAAAGTTTTCTCTCTTCCCCAAAGAACGTACTGGATTTCAAATTTATATATATATATATATATATATATATATATATTATGATAGTGGGCGCTCACCGATCAGGTTACGGAACATGCTCGTTCCGTTGTGCCTTGGGGCTCATACTTAAACCCTCGCAGGCAGTCGCACAGCGACTAGTGATATATGTTGAGAAGGTGATACCGACAAAGACAAGGGAGACCGGAATGGCCGGGTTCGAATCTCAAGTGATCCACACTTGGGGTTGGGTATGACTGGCTGATGACGGCTAATAAGCCAGAAATGGCCATTCCGGTCTCCCTTGTCTTTGTCGGTATCACCTTCTCAACATATATCACTAGTCGCTGTGCGACTGCCTGCGAGGGTTTAAGTATGAGCCCCAAGGCACAACGGAACGAGCATGTTCCGTAACCTGATCGGTGAGCGCCCACTATCATAATTAATATTCCCGATCACAACCGACAGGACAACGGGCCCGTGTCTCAATGGTAGAGCGTTCAACTCCATGACCAAAGATCCCGGGTTCGAATCTCAGGTGATCCACACTTGGGGTTGGGTATGACTGGCTGATGACGGCTAATAAGCCAGAAATGGCCATTCCGGTCTCCCTTGTCTTTGTCGGTATCACCTTCTCATATATATATATGTTGGAAGGTAGGCATCCCGAAAAATATAATTCGAAGTCGAATGTGTGCTTTGGGAAAGGAAGTTTATTGTGCAAATTTTCGACGCCGGTTCCCCGAGTCGTCGTCAGGCACAGATGGGGAGCAAATCCGCCAACACAGCTAACATGCAAAGTGCACTTAAAAAATCGATAATCGCTTTACGTTCACGCCAGTAAGCGGCCATCCTGTGTGTCAGTCCGTTCTGACTGGTCCTCGCCTCTTCCATCTCTCCTTGAGATTTCTGTACGCGGCATTCAACTCGATATGCCGGTTGATGCATGATTCGTCTGAGTGCATGGTTTCAAGGAACTCTCGGCCTTTCTTTGAGGGGCACACAGCGACAATGCGAGTTTTCTCCCAAGCGAAAGTGTGCCCGATGTCCAGGGTGTGCATGGCCACCTGAGACAGATGGTCTCGCCTCTTCACTGCCAACTGGTGTTCGTGAATGCGTGTAGAGGCGCATTTTCCAGTCTGGTCACAATGGACGGCATCACACGCATCACAAGGGATCTTGTAAACGACTTCTTTTTTGTCCAGATAGTTAACCCTATCTTTAGGGTGCACGAGCTGAGTGCGCAAACTAGTCGTCGGTCGGTGCGCCACCTGAATTTGATGCTTCCTTAAGTGTCTTTCAACGAGTTCAGACACATTTTTAATGTAAGGAAGTGTTCGCCAAGTTTTTGGTTCGGACGTCTGATTTGGACTACTTGGCTCCTTTCTCTTCGACTCTTTCTGCCTCATGCATCGGCGCACAAAATCTCTAGGGTACCCATTCCGCGAAAACAATTCACACAAGAATTTGAGTTCGTCTTGATAGCCTTCTTCATCAGAGCAATGTGTTTTTGCTCGATTAAGCAGACTTTTGACAGCACCCCGTTTGTGAGAAATTGGCTGGTTGCTCTCGTAGGTAGAATGATTTCCGCGTAAGTGTCTTTACGGTAAACTGATGTACGTAGTGTTCCGTCAGTCTTTCTTTGTACGAGAACATCCAGGAAAGTCAGTTCACTGTCGACTTCCTTTTCGAGTGTGAACGTAATCCCCGGAATCGTCGAGTTTATATTGTTGTGGAGAGCTTCCAATTGGTCCTTTTTAACGATTACAAATGTGTCATCTACATATCGCAGCCACAATTTAGGTTTGATTGACGGAAGGGCCGTAGTCTCCAGTTTCTGCATTGTGACTTCGGCGAGAAAATCAGAAATTGGGGATCCCATAGGAGCGCCTTTCAGTTGCTGATAGCACTGTTGGTTGAATGAGAAGTTGGTTTCCAAGCATAGATCTATGAGTTCGAGCACGGCAGTTGCGGGAACGTCTATATCATAGGACATCAATAGTTCTTCTGTGCATTGTTTTGCCACATCTAAAGGCATCGATGTGAAGAGGGACACTACATCGAAGGAAACCATTATTTCATCAGAAGAGATTGTGATTCCTTCCAATTTCTTTAGAAACTCATTTGAGTTCTCAATTGAAGTTTCGCAATTCCTCGAAAGCGGGTGAATTTTTTGGAATAACCACTTGGAAATTTTGTAGTTTGGTGCCCCGATTAATGATACTGTCGGTCGTAGTGGGACATCCGTCTTGTGAACTTTAGGCAATCCATACATCTTCGCGATTGTCGGTTCATTTTGTCTCAGGGATTTCGCTATATCTCCTGGCAGTTGTTTCTTCCCTGTAAGACGCTTCAGAACTTTATCAATGGATGAAAGTTGTGCTTTGGTAGGATCCGCTGAAAGTGGGTTATAAGAAGATCCATCTTCTAACAATGACATCATCTTATTATTGTAGTCCGTTCTGATCAAAATTGTGACTAAGCCCCCTTTGTCTGCAGGGAGAATGATAATATTTTTGTCAGTTCGTATTTATATATCATAATATCAGCGAGGAGGGACGACAGAGAATGTGGGTAGATTGATACAGCACTGTTTAGGGCTTATTCTGCCTTCATTCAGCCAATCGTAAACCTGACCACCAGCAGCTGAGACCAGAAACACAAATATGCTCACAGACGCACCTGGCGCAGTCGGTCCATCACTGAGGCCTACCAGATGGGTCATAAGCACTTCATCGAACCGAAGTTCATCAGTGCCTCACCACCTGTCCTTCTCTGTCGCTGCAGATCGGTGTGCGCCCATTCCTGATTGATAAATACCCGATCTACAGCGACAGAGAATGACAGGTGGTGAGGCACTGA